CTACCAAAAGCGGTCTCGTTCTTCATCTGCATGACGTCCATCCTAACGCCTGGGGAATCCTTATAAAGATTGCGAACAAGTCACTAGGCATGCTGAAAACTACTACAAAGAACCTTTAAGAACTCATAAACCAAAACCTGAGTAAAGCTTCAGAAATCCATGGTTGCCACTTTTGAACATAGAATGATTCGAAGCATCTCGAAGATTCTTCTTCTTCTTGACCGTATCTTACATCATTTGAACGATCCCTTGCGCCAAGGCTAACTCAGTAGCGTGGTAAGTAAATGCGCGATGATCTACAGAATTTATTCCTCTACTATCTAGGTTAAGGATATATGTGGTGAGAAGAATCTGCAAAACAACCTATCGATCCTAAAATGACATCTTCTGATCTATTCGTCGACGTAGCCATCACGTATCCATGGCGGATGGAGGTTTGACCTCTGCATTTTAGTCGGCGGGCATTACACTGGACGCAGCTCACCTGGTGCCAAGAGGGGGAGGGAGTAGAACAGCGGCAGGCAAAACCTTCTGCCATATTTGGTCTACCGGTAAACTAACGTACACGGTTTTCTTTTCCAGCATGTTTCTTCCAAAGGATAGGGTTTTTGTTAAAAAAAACTAACATGACTAGTGTTTTTTGTCGCACGTTGAGCCAGATTGTCTGTGTAAAAGACTTTTGACGAAACGTTATCAACTTTCGACCAATCAAATGCAGCCTAGTTCATATTAAGAGCAGCGCAAGCACTCACGCGCCAAGGACTCAGCGCCAATTGCCGGCGAATTGCATGCTAGCTGGTTCCTCAACAGTTAATCAATGGCGCTCTTGCGGTTAGCCATACAATAATCAGTTCTGCCATATATTACGATTAGCAGCTGCTCTGTGGATAAAACGAATCTATATGGCACATGCTCCAGTTCGCTTTGAGGAGATCGGATTTAATTATGGATTCGTACCGATTAATATCAATTCCAAGAAGGGATACAATGTGGTCTATCACCTCTTTATGGACCGTATGTTGGAGGATGGACGTCTGGTGCTCATAAAAGGCAATGAGAACAAAATTATGCTGAAGGATATTGAAGGGCCGGTAGAGGACAGAGAAAAAGTGATCATATACAGTCCTGACATTACGAACTTCTACAAATTCAATCTGACCAACAAACTTGTGGGATTTGGCATTGAAGCCTACCGGCGATCTAAAACGGGTTACTGGTTTTTGGCCTTTCAACGAGAGGGCCAGTTGCAGGCGTTCTGCGATTTCCTCAACTGGGTTATTTACGGAAAGCTGCCGCGTAGACGGGCTGTTCAACCTGCCTACCATCCTGCCTACCGTCCGGTATCACGTGGACGGTACCCCGTCCGGCAGTCACAGGCATCGTCACGCACACGTTATTATTCTCAGGAACCTTGCAATTGCCGGAACTGCGCAATGAGGCGCAACAGAAGCTCTTCCTGCGCTGCTCAACGAACACGCCCGTATTACTACTGAGGTGCCACTCACAGGGTGGACGTCCTGAAGAGTTTGACTATTTCCGAATTGGCAGCGTACGTTTTAACCCTCTCTCTCTCTCACACACTCTCCCCCTAAGAGGGTGTGAACTTGTGTACTGGAACCGTGTCTTCCTCTCTGTCTCTCTCTCTCTCTCATCTGCAGGTGCGCTGCCTCGAACCGCCTTTGCATCAGTATACCTTAATTGCTATCAAAACAGAATTGCCTGTCTAGTTCTTATTGCCATTTTCAGTCGAAGTGAGCTGTGGGTGGTCGCGAAAGGACAAGCGATTGTAACAGATTTGACGGTTCTGGACTCGTAAAAACGACTGTTTGACGGAAGGATTCATCCGGCGGACTGGTAGGCGTGATTTATACTAGTAGCGATAACAGAAAAGTTTCGGGGAAGATCACCTCTTAAGCATAAATGTACGTACTAACGTCTAAGAAGGTCCGTGCGTGTGCGTTTTTGCGTGGTTGAACGAGACCGTGCAGATTGCCTCTGCAGGTAATAGAAAGTAATAAATAACTTCAAGGTTGTTTGTCTTTTCATTCATAACAAGGGATGATGGTAATGGTAAGCTCATCTCATAATTTCTAACGTAATTGCAAACGCAACTACCACAGGATTCGAATACAAACAAATGAAACGACGACTAAAATGCGTAAAAGACGTCCACGACCAGATAATTTTGCTGGAGTATTGATAAGTGCAGAACATAACAGTTCATTTTCACTGTTCTCATAAATTAAAATATATTTAGTCGAAAATAGGAACAAATGTATTGTTTTTCATACTTGTGTGGTAGAATAGTACGCCTTTTTCAAATATTTTTCTTGAAGAAAGAATATCTTTCGGTTTAAAAACTTTCCCGAATTGCTGAATAATTTTGAACATTTTTGACCATTGCACCTGAACTTAAGATCTCTAAAGTACATGCTATATATATTCGGTGTAAGGGAAAGTAAATATATTCCTACGGTGTGAGGAAGAAGTCACACGTTTCTTATAAAATTTGGCATTAGATGTGGACCAGGTTGTGGAATGTATAATCAGTTTTAATAAATGAATAAGTGCTTTACGGTACGAATGCACATTTCAAGGTCGTAACAAGTCTCATAATTAGAATGTGAGACACATTATCGAAAGAAAAGTAGTAGAGAAGTTCCACCCGAATACTATCCATCTGTGCTTGGCGAGGCTACTTTTCTACATCTTTGCACATGACTATATCATCAGTGTTCCTCCGCACTAGGACTTGACGATAGAGAATACCCGAGCCGATTTCTTGAACCAGTAAGTAGCCATGCATTTCATAATGAAAGTGTCAGCTCAAATACTTCGAGATATGATAGTCGGTATTTCATGCAGAATTCCGAAACATGCGATGGATAGTTAATCACTTGCAAAACGGCATTATCTGGAGTTGTAATAATGGTTATCGTGCAGCCTAATCTCTAGTTACTTCAGTCACATCAATATGTCGATTTTTACACTACCTTATATCAGATCGCGTAAAAAAGTATATTCTGCAACAAATATATACTTAAATAGTATAAATTTGGCTCATTGATCTTCATTGCCC